TATATATATATATGTGTGTGTGTGTGTGTGTGTGTGTCATTTTCTATAATTATTTATACGTTATTAGTTTTATATAGGGTCTTCTTAAAATAATAAGTCAAAGAAATATTAATTACGCTATTAGTTTTACTTTAAATAAATAGTTGTGTAAAAACAAGACAAAAATGAATTCTAAAAATTAGTCGGGAGTGAAAAAAGAAAAGAAAATGGGAAATAAGGAACAAAGTATTAAAAGCGAATTATGGATAAAATTAAACAAAATGGTCTCCAGCTCGTTGGTAAAAGCCTCTTGATTATGCTAGATGAACAAGGTTTGAATCCTTTAGTTAGAGTTTGGTACGCATAAATGATTGGGCAGGACTGGATAGAACAAGAGGGTAGGACAGAATAGGACTGGACAAAATAAATGTCTGTCTTGGTTATGGTGGAGATGGTGGTAGCCGATGGTGGTACTGGCAATGGGCAGTTGTGATCGACAGCCGACGATGGTTATGGAGGTACATGTTATAGTGGTTGGTGGATGACGGTGGTTGTGGAGGACGTGAAGATGGTGAATTTTGGTGGTGGTGGTGGTGGCGGTTGACAACGGTGTAAGAGGTAGTTGTAGCCGATGTAGTGGTTGTGGTGATTATGGTGGAGGTGAAGTGGCAATGGACGGTGGTAGTCAGTGGCTGATGGTGGCTATACAGGTGAAAATGAAAAGTTTTGATCGGTGGTCGACAGTGGTTGTGGAGGTCATGGAGGATGTTGTTTTTGTAGAAGAGGAGTTGGAGGTGGCTAATGGTGGTAGTGTTGGTGGCAATGGATGGTGGCGATCGGTGGCCGATTGTATTTTTAGAGGTGGCAATTGACGGTGGTAGCCGGTGGACGACGGTGGTTGTGGAAGTGGTATAGGAGGTTGTTGTACTAGAGGAGGAGTTAGAGGTGGCCAACAACGATAGTGGGGGTGGCAATAGACGATGGTGGTCGATGGTCGACTGTGGTAGAGGTGGCGATGGACGGTGGTGGACGATGGTTGTGGAGGCGGTGGAGGATGTTGTTGTACTGAAATAGGAGGTGGAGGTGGAGGTGACCGACGATCACCGCCTGTGGTGGCAGCGGCCGAAACTAACGGTGATGACCATTAAAACAAATATCATATTAAGGTTATATATCAAACTAGGGTAAACTAGTAATATTTTAGTTTCCATCTCATTCTTGTCCCATATTATTCCACCTATTTTGGTGGAACAAGAAAAAATCTCTTTTGTCTCATGTTATCCCATCTTATAACAGTTCTTGTCCTTGTATCATGTCGCGCCAAATATGAGACAGTGAGTTCTTGTTCTGTCTCATGTTGCGCAAACCTGGGACAGTAAGTTTTATCCCGTCCCATACACCAAACACAGCCTCAAATAAGAATTCCATTGAATTTTTAGTGACTATACAAGTAGGAATGGTCTATTTGATGCCCTTGGGCTTGGGATGCCCTTGGCCACCTCCCGGCTGCCCACCCATAGGGCCGACCCTGATAACGAAGGTAAAGTTCATGAACTATTCATGATAAATGATACACAATTAATGATGAATAATAGACGAACATAATCCATGCTAAACTGATGTCGCGCTCTATTTTGTCCCCACATTCATAACCGAAAAATCAGTTTTCATTTAGACCCACAACTCTATATATAAGATACAAGATGATCCTATATATATATATATATATATATATATATAATCATTGAAAAGCCATCTTATAAATATTGAACACATGGTATAAAACTAGTTGAAATAGTGAACACTTCTTCAAACACAATGGATGTTTAGAGTTGTAGGTGGGGGCCTTTGTCTCCACTTTGACATTATAGGATTGACCTTGATGTTGGTGGGGTTGCAATGGGTGCAAATCCAAGTCATACCCAATTGCCTTTTGTCTTTCAATACATCATTGCTTCTATTCTAAACCACCAATTAACTTCCACCATTTATTTCTAAATATGTACATATAAGGGGCTAAAAATTCCATGTCTATTTGCTTTTCTAGGGTTTATTTGATTTGTTACCATGAAAGAATTATAATTAAGATAAAATCTATTGATAGATTCTTTTTATTAACCTGGATATCCAACTTGTTATGCGAGCCGACTAATCTCAGGATGACCACATGTTTTGCAGATAGTCCGGAGTCACAACATTTGAACCTCCGTGGCCACAAGAGGATTTTTATTCCTCCTTGGATTTGAACCTAGGACCTCCTGGTACTTTTGACCTTTGGAGCCAAGCTCAAACCAATCAGGCACCACTATTGTGGTTATTGATAGATCTTTAATCGTTTTCTATTTATTAAAAACCCGACATCTGTGGTTATTGGGTTCAACAAAATTTTGTTGGCCCATGAAGTTTGTGACCTAGAAATATAATCCAATACTGAAAAATGATTGACGTGGGCTACAACCTACACGATATTACAACCCAACACCATATTTGCCATGTTGAACTACAAAACAGACACTTATAGTTGAGATTTAAAGGAAACTTAGCGAGACAACGATGAAACTTATCAAAGCTATAATTCATATGACGAGAGTAAGGGTTGCTTGGTTTGTGGAATTCGAATGAATTTAACAGAATTGGAATTACAAATTATATCGATATTAGTATCAAATTAACTATTTAAAACTAGAAGGGTACTCACGCAATGTCGCGAGATACATCTTCATTTTAATGTTTCGTTTTATTTTTCGTCTCTGTTGATATAATATGATTTATGTAGTTTTGAGAAAGATAATGTTTTTATTTTTAAATAAAAATAAATTTGAAAATATCATAAAAATATGAAAAAGTATATCGATATTAATATTAAATTAACTATTTATAAGTTCTCGTTTTTTTGTACAATTTTTTTTAATTCGATTTTTTATTATACTTTAATTTATGTCAAAATGAAGTAATTTATTTTTGGTTTAACAATAATTTTTGTATAAAGATAATGATTCTGTTAGAACTCAATATTATCCTAATTATATTTTAGATTTTTTTATATTTAAGATGAGAGGTTTATCTTGTATTTGATAAAATTTATCTACAGTTAGTTATACGAATTAAAAAATGGAGCTTTAATAAGTTGTACTTACGCATAATTTACTTGTAATCTTAAATTTTAAGTAATATGTATTAATACACAATACTTCATGCATAAAGAATGATTTTTAAGAGTTTTTGTCAAATGTTTTATAATATAGTATAAATTAACTATTTTTTGTATAATTTTTTAATTCAATTTATTTTATTATAATTTAATTTAGGCTCAATAACGAAGTAATTTATATTTGGTTTAATAATATAGTTTTCTATAAAGATAATAATTAATTATTTTGTTAGGACTCGATAATTATTCTAATTATRTTTTAGATTTTTTATATTTTAGAATGAGATGTTTATCCTCTATTTGATTATATTTTAGTTAGTTACACGAATTCAAACATGGAGCTTTAATAAGTTGTATTGATACATAATTTACTTGTAATCTTGAATTTTTAAGTAATATGCATTAATATACAGACAATAATTCATGCATAAAAAATGGTTTTTAAGAGTTTTTGTCAATTGTTTTATAATATAGTGTAGATGATTGTATATTAGTATGTTGAGGAATCCTCTTTTCGATCATTTACCAAACATTTATCCGATAAATGTTTACCGGTAAAATTCAACACAATGACTTATTTATCGGGTAAGATTTTTACTCCATCAAAATGACATCGTATACAACAATTTACCTGACATACGTTAACCGTAGCAAGACTCTCGATCCTTACCTCTATCTTACGAGGTAAGATACTTAATCATTCTTATATTCATCTGATAAGATAACGTGACTTGCTAAGCACTTGGTAAACGACTCCTAACCTTTCCACTCCACTCATTTTGTTGCTTTTTTTTTCCTGTTACTTTCAAAGTAATTGATTCAGCTCATTCTTTTTGTTTTTAAAAGATATGAACAAAAATATTCCAAACAGAACTGTTTAAGACATTTTTTGTAATCTATAAGTTTAATACCTAAGACCATCCACATCCTTACAATTTATTTATGCCTTCAAATGTATCCCGTCAGCTTTTGCAATTACCATCTATATACGTGCAATTCACCTATACTTTTTCAAAAGTGATCCCTACTATAACATTTATTAATTACCATATGGATTATTATATATATTCTAATTATCTTTTAATAAATACATGGTATTATCTTTTATCAATATTTTATCTTAAAATTTAATGTTTAAATTGATTTAACTATATTAATTAAACATATTTATTATGACTAGAAGGGTAGTCGCACAATGCAGCGAAATACATCTTGATTTTAATATTTCATTTTATTATTTATCCCAGTCGATGTTATAATATGGTCATATGTGATTTTGAGAAAGCGATGATGTTTTTATTTTTGAATAAAATATAAGTTAAAAAATATCATAAAATTCTGACAAAAATATATCGATATTAGTATCAAATTAATTATTTAAAATTTCTCATTTTTTGTGTAATTTTTTAATTCAATTTTTTATAATTTAATTTAAGTACAATAACAAAGTAATTTATATTCGGTTTAATAATATAATTTTCTTATAAAGATAATAATTATTTATTTTGTTAGAACTTGATAATTATTCTAATTATATTTTAGATTTTTTATATTTTAAAATGAGATGTTTATCCTTTATTTGATTATGTTTATCCGTAGTTAGTTATACGAATTCAAACATCAAACTTTAATAAGTTATACTTATACATAATTTACTTGTAATCTTGAATTTTAAGTAATATACATCAATATATAATATTTTATGCATTAGAAAAAGACCAACCCTTCTTGTTGGATTGAATTCATCGGTTTCAGTGGCCCATAATCTTGGCCCATTTGTAAACCCTAAATAAGACTAAGAACTAGAAGTCGATAAAACTTTGCTATCCTCTCAGACCCCTTCTCGCGCTCACGGCTCGCTTCAGGTTTTCGAGGTATGGATTTCTGAATTATCTAAGCGTTCTGTTGATTTTTGTATTCATAATCTTATATGTATGCTGACTAGAAATTTAGTTTTGTGCAATGATTGTGTTCTTGGAGACGATTGCTTTCATTTTGATTCACGATCCTGTCTGTTATATGTTTCGCATATTCAAATTAGTAGTTTTAGCTTCAAAATTGATGGTCGATGCTCTAGATTTAACAGCAAGATTCTATCTATACTAAGAACACTTAGTTAATTCATGTAGCTGTAATTTTTTCACGAAACAAAAACATTCTGCAACTTTATTTTGGTTTAAAATTGGGACTTTTAATTTGATTTTTTCCCCGACTTTATTAGAAAAATGAGATTTGATGATGCGATGGTGTCTTTTTCTCCATGTTTTCTAGCATTCGTAATTTAGCTGGAGAGATAACTGAATTTTGCAGAAGTGATTTTAAGATGAGTTCAATAAGATCCTAATGTTCATTTTACGATATTTTATTTGCAATATGATATTGCTTTTCTTTTGTTTGTATGTTTCTTCAAATTTTGATTTCCCATAATTTTCTGTTCGCAAATATCATCGTTTTCTTTGTTTTGTGTTTGCTGATTTTTGCCTTTTTGGATTTTGAGATGTCAAATTCAGTTGCAACATCTTTTGCCTTTTGGTTTTCCCCAATATGTATGGTGCATGAAACCGTCTTCCAACATACAAGTAATCGAGGCTGGAATCTCAACAGCGCTCGTTGCCAAATCCCAATTTGGGTATTTTGGTAAGAAACACTAATGAGCTTGAGAATTGGCATAAATCTTTGCCATAGGCCTTTGGTATTGGAGCTTTTCTTTTCATCATCACATATTGGGGTTAATTCCATATGCAGCCAGTCAATTGTGTCTATTTTCTCTGATAATATAAATTATACACAAATATTCCGTTACTTCCATTCATTACATGTTTATTAAAATGTATGGCATAAAAAACTCTCAAGTTTCTGCGACTCTTTGGCCTTTAAAATTTGACTCTTACCGGTGTTTCCATGATAACCTTTTTTGCTTTCTTCATTTTAAGTAATTTTTATGCATGTGATTATTGATGACCAAATAAAAGCTGACTTTTACTTTTTATCGTTTTTGTTGTGATTTAGTTGGTTAGTCTACATTGTTTGCACAGATTATGTGCTAAAACAGATGGGGTAGATAGTGAAATTAATACCCATATCTAAATATGGTATTCACATATACCTATAGCCATGTGAACTTTTAGTTTTTTTAAATTGTTGTGTTTTCTTCTGTGAAATACTTGGAAATGAACTTATGAGTTTTGCAGATACATAACAAGCTAGGTACCATGTCTCATCGCAAATTTGAGCATCCCAGACATGGCTCATTGGGGTTTCTTCCTCGGAAAAGGGCTGCTCGCCACAGAGGAAAAGGTTTAGATTTAGATTTTTTGGCTGATTTTAGTTCTGTTTTGCCTGTTCTTTTCTTTATATCTATGGAATGAGCCATCTCTATTGCATGTATCATTTGTATGCTATCTTCTATTTATGTGCCAGTTCTTCTAGTTGATGCCAATTGCTTATATTTGTTTCTTGTGTTCAGATTGTGTACTTTTAGCTGTAGGTTGTCAACTGTTTGAACATTCTTGCTTTATATTTAGTTGTTTCAACTTTGTATTTGTAACTTGTATCTATTATTGTTGGATACCAATCCAGTTGTGTTTAGTTTTATTTGTTACTTTGCAACCAATCAAATAAAATGAGGATTTCTTTCAGACCCTGGAATTACCCATTCATATGACTTCAAGTTTCCTGCCTGTTCTCTGAACGAATTTTGGATGATGGTACAATTCGCTGATGATTGTTTTTTTGGCCTCAAGTAAAACATGATTGACTATTCAGCATAGTGATTAAAAATGTTCTTACATAGAGATGCCATATCTTATTTCCAACATCTCCAGTTCTAAATTATGAACCAAATTATGAAACCATCTGTTGACATGTACAGTTATTTTGTTATGGATTATGCTATGAGTCTGTTACATGTGTTCTTTGTTCTGGTATGTTTTAGGTCCAGTGCTTTGTATTGTAGTTATGCACGTAACATGTTAGACTGAATAATTTTTCTACTTTATTATTTTCATTGATATTCTTGATCAAGCTTGTTTGATATAACACTCCCTCCACAAAAGTTTTTGAGGCAGTTCTGTTAACTTTCATTATTATAATTCCTTGATAATGATTTGTCTGTTAACCCTATATCAGAACTTATATGTGTAGTCAAGAGAACATTGTAACTGTTGCGTGGTCTGCTCTGCTTATGGTGTACTTGTTTTGGTTTTTGCAGTGAAGGCATTCCCCAAAGACGATTCTGCCAAACCTTGCAGACTAACTGCCTTCTTGGGATACAAAGCTGGGATGACCCACATTGTTAGAGAAGTTGAGAAGCCTGGGTCAAGTGAGTTATTTCTATTTGTTTACTTTTTTCATCTTAACTTGTTGGGAGGACAATTTTGCTTTTCATTTCTTATATATAAAAGAGCTTTAAATATTTGGATAGTAGGCGCATGTTAATTCTTTAGTCTTGTACAAGGAACTTAGTCATTCTCCTCCCACGCAATGTCTTGGTTTGTATGTTTAGTATTTTCTTTCCCCTAATTTTWCCTTTTTTATTTTCGGTAGAGATTGAGGGTAATGTAATGACCACCATTGTATTTGCCAAGTCATAATTTTATTTTGGTTTTTCTCCATAGAACTTCACAAGAAAGAGACRTGTGAAGCRGTGACTATTATTGAGACACCCCCGATGGTGGTGGTAGGATTGGTGGGTTATGTCAAGACCCCACGGGGMCTCCGCAGTCTGAATACTGTTTGGGCYCAGCATCTGAGTGAGGATATCAAGAGGAGATTTTACAAGAACTGGTGCAAATCAAAGAAGAAAGCTTTTGCCAARTACTCATTGAAGTATGAAACCGAGCCAGGGAAGAAGGACATTCAGTCCCAGTTGGAGAAGATGAAGAAATACTGCAATGTCATCCGTGTGCTTGCMCACACACAGGTACTATTATTTACTTGATCAAATTTCCTTGAATTTGTGTTCYGGAAAYGAAAGATGAAAGATATCAATAAATATGTTATATATATTAAAACAAAATACAATAAACTGGTAAAAAAGATCGACAGTAAAAGGGTTCTTTTTTAAAGCACCTATTTTTTACAAGCAGCTGTGACTAGGCAAGAACCAGTAGCCAGTGTAAGAACCTGTTRAAGAACTTCCATTGTGCACATTCTTATTTGCATTATGAAATGTGTTTTAACCAGATCCGAAAGATGAAAGGTCTTAAGCAGAAGAAGGCCCACCTGATGGAGATTCAAGTGAATGGTGGCAATGTGGCACAGAAAGTTGATTTTGGCTACAGTTTTTTTGAGAAGCAGATCCCCATTGATGCTGTTTTTGGGAAAGATGAAATGATTGACATCATTGGTGTGACCAAGGGTAAGGGTTATGAAGGGGTGGTGACCCGTTGGGGCGTGACCCGTCTGCCTCGCAAGACCCATCGTGGGCTGCGGAAGGTTGCTTGTATCGGAGCATGGCATCCTGCTAGGGTTTCATTCACCGTTGCAAGGGCTGGACAGAATGGTTACCATCACCGGACTGAAATGAATAAGAAGATTTACAAGCTTGGGAAGGCTGGCCAGGAGTCCCATTCTGCAATCACTGAATACGACAGGTTTGTTTCGTTGGATGATGTTTTGTTTTAGTTTATAAATTAGGCAGCAGGTGTAATGGTGGGTGGATATTTGTAGGACGGAGAAAGATATAACCCCAATGGGAGGGTTCCCACACTATGGGGTGGTGAAGGATGACTTTCTGATGATAAAGGGGTGCTGTGTGGGACCGAAGAAGCGTGTNGTGGTGACCCGTTGGGGCGTGACCCGTCTACCTCGCAAGACCCATCGTGGGCTGCGGAAGGTTGCTTGTATCGGAGCATGGCATCCTGCTAGGGTTTCATTCACCGTTGCAAGAGCTGGACAGAATGGTTACCATCACCGGACTGAAATGAATAAGAAGATTTACAAGCTCGGGAAGGCTGGCCAGGAGTCCCATTCTGCAATCACTGAATACGACAGGTTTGTTTCGTTCGATGATGTTTTGTTTTAGTTTATAAATTAGGCAGCAGCTGTAATGGTGGGTGGATATTTGTAGGACTGAGAAGGATATAACCCCAATGGGAGGGTTCCCACACTATGGGGTGGTGAAGGATGACTTTCTGATGATAAAGGGGTGCTGTGTGGGACCGAAGAAGCGTGTGGTGACGTTGAGACAGTCGTTGTTGAACCAGACATCGAGGCTTGCATTGGAGGAGATCAAGCTGAAGTTCATCGACACGTCCTCCAAGTTTGGGCATGGTCGTTTCCAGACGGCTGATGAGAAGTCCAAGTTCTATGGACGAACAAAAGCATAAACATGGAATTTTGTTTAGTCATTCATTCAGACCTGTGATTTTGGTTTTCCGATTTAGAACTTGGAATGTTATGAAGTTTGTTTTGGTTTTGTTGCTGGAAATTGCATGTTTGGCAGCAAATGCTTTGTTTCTTGGTACTCATGATATTTAAATAAATTTGACGAGTTTTCAAAAAACAAAGTTTTTAGGTAATAAAACTATAGTTCTCTCTCCCTATTAAATAGTATTTTTCCAAATTTAATATTTTATATTTTAATTATTATTTTGTATTTTCAAATCATAACATTTAATTTATCCTATAATTTAGATGACACAAAATAATAATTAATATAGAGAGAGAGTTTGTTTTAAATGTAACTCATCACATTTGTACAATCAATATAATCCAATAAATTAAAATATTTATGGAAATGAAGAAAGTTCATTTATTATGATTTGAATATTTTTGAAAGATGAATAAGATTAATTAATTATGATCAATACTTTATATTATAAAACAATCAAAACTTTTATGAAATTACATATTCATTAAATTAAATGGACGGTTGAGATTGAGTTGTATTGGTTGTACAAATGTAAAAGATTGTATAATAATCCACCCCTCTCTCTCTCTTTCTATATATATATATAGGGTATATTTCAAATGCAACTATGTCTATTTGTACAACCAATGCAATCCAATCAATTGAGATATTTATGGAAATGATGAAAGTTCATTTATTATGATTTGAATATTTATGAAAAATGAATATAGTTCATTAATTATGATCAATACTTTATATTAGAAAACAATTAAAACTTTTATGAAATCATATATTCATCAAATTAAATGGACGGTTGAGAAAGATAAGGTTAGTTCAAATGCCTTAGGGAGCGGGCGAAATTCAATAGATGAGACCTGTTGAAAGGACTCACCTAGCTGAGAGGTTTTCCTTGTATGGTTTTCTTAACTCTCTTTGAGGGATTAAGAGTGGTTGTAGACTGTGTTTTCTTTAGAGAGGATGAGGAGGTAACATCTTGGGTAAACTTTGGTAGCTGAACCAAAGTCGTCGTTGTTGAAGAAGAAGAAAGCGGAATATAGGTGTTGACTATCCTCATGATGATGGGGAATAGACCAACATATTTAGTTTTGGTCTTGTGATCAAGAATCCTTGATCCAAACCTGCAGAGAGGAAGATCACCTTGAGTGGGGTATTGTTTCTTCAACATCCTTGTAATGATGCCACTCAGGAATCTTGTGTAAGGGTCGACCTTTTCCCTTTGTCTTTTGTTCAGCTTCAGCACCAGGTCGTTGAATATCAGCTGAGCATAGTCAATGTTTCTATTCTTGATAACTGAGTAGCCGATGTTCAGCGCTACTCGCCTGGCTTGGTCTTGACCGCCAGTTTTCCCAACCATGCACTGAATAAAGTGGGAAAAAGATACTGTCAGACGGCAGACATCCGGTTCTTCTCAATCTTCGTCAGCGACTTGTTGAGTTTAGATTCAAAGTCCTTCTTCAGGGCCAGCCATAGTGAATATCGTCAAAAAAAAGTTGACCATGGCTTCATTGTTAGGTTCCTTGGTGAAGGGAGAGACTTCGGGAAATGGTTATTGCAACGATTTGCTTTGAACACCTTGTAAAGATAGACAAGTTATTTAGATATTCAATTCGAGTTTTCACTCGACTAAACTTCAATCGAGCTATTTTTCTTCTTATAATTGTGCTTATATGGTGTTGCATTGATCTTGAGCTTTGTCACAATTGTCAGGATGTGAAGATGCAATTCATAAGACAGACAGCATCCCAAAAACATATATAGACGACAGGGAAACTAAAAGGTAAGGTACATCGTGGTCACTTGATTAAGTTTCATTAGTTTTAGTTTAGACGCATGGCCGCTTGATTAACTTTCCTTAGTTTTAGTTTATACTTCTTGTAACCTGGTTGATAAGCTCTGTCCACAATATTTATGGTTTTTGTTGCTATGTTGTATTGTTTTCAGGCCCAAATCTACATGTGCCCACATTGTTCTTTATCTAAAAATAATTGTAATTTTCTCATATTACTATAATAGCTAAAAGTATGTAAAGCAACCGTCTTTTATTTACAACACTACATGATTTGTCTGGATAATAAGTTCATGATAGTTCAACAAGCATATTTTAAGTTGTCTTTCCTTTCTATCTCCTTTAATTGTTTTTGCAGCTCTTGGTTACAAAGGCTTATTGATTAACCACAAGGGTGGTGTCTGATTGGTTTGAGCTTGGATCAAAAGGTCAAAAATACCTGGAGGTCTCAAGTTCAAATCCAAGGAGAAATAAAAATCCTCTTATGGCCATGGAGGTTCAAATGCGGTGACTCCGGACTATCTGCAAAGCAGATAGTCGCCCTGGGATTAGTCGGCCATAGCGGGTTGGATATCTAGGTTAATGAAAAAAAGGCTTATTGATTTATCGTCTTATCTCTGATAGTTATGAAGTTGATTCTGATTGTCCTTTCACCTGTTCTTTGGCTCACAGGCAATGAGAGGTTGTGGTCGGTGGTTAAGCGGTGAACCGCCCTTTCTTAGAGGAAGGCTCTTTGCCTTAGAGGCTGCATTTTGACGTATTAATGCAGTTTACAAGGCCAATAATATTATTATATTTAAATATGTATTGGAACTTAGCAATCAACGTGAGTTCTTATCCTTTTTTTGTTCTCTTATTCAGTTGAAAAGGTTTTATCTGTGTCGATGTAATCTCTCCTCAACTGTTCAAAGCATCGATCATTTCATTTCTAGCTTATTCTACTGCCTCCTTTTCCAAGTTTATGGTTTCTATCAGTCACCAATTTTGAACTTTTGGTTTATTAGCTTCATCTTGAACTTGCATTACCTGAACAATTTGAAATGCAAATTTATGAGCCATTATTCCTTGGGTAATTCTATTCAAGAAACATTGATATTTGTATGTCGTTTATAAGAAATTTAGATCAAAACATTGGACAGAAAAAACCAATACAATGCACAATTTTATCTTTTTGGTTTATTTGACAAAAATACATTTCTACTTCTGTTTTATTGTTTACTTTTGTTTAAACTATACATCCCGCCGTATCGCGTGGGTAGTCGACTAGTATTAATTAAACATATATATTATGATTGTATTTATATTTTATTTAAAAAATGATATATATATATATATATATATACTTATACTATCTTATAAAGCATTTGACTAAAACTCTTAAAAACTGTTAAAACTCTTAAAAACTCTTAAACTTGTTCATCTCTATCCGATTTCATCTCATATCTGAATTCGTGTAACTAACTGCAGATAAACA